CCCCCCCCCACCGCCCCTCGCTCGTGGCCCCACCCCTGCTCCTGCGACACCGTCTCGGACATGGCATCGCAGCAAATACCGGCAACTCGCCGTTGTCCTACGCAAACCTGCGGCTCCTGATGCGGCAAGTGGACGGGGGCGATAGGAAGTGGTCGATTTCACTAGAGGGTGGCTACTACTTGCGTCGAGTAGGTGAGGCTGCGTGAACGCCAACATGTGGTTTTCCAGAAAGGACGAGGTGGAATTCTGCCTTGGCTCTTTGTTCGCTGGGTGATGAATGCTTGCGGCTGCTGGCTAGGGCTTGCCCCATGCCGTGTTGTAGCAGGCTGTCCATCCATCGTAGCTGTTCTTGCTGGGAAGGTGTAGTTGTCGTGTCGTGCGTGTAATCACCTTCTGTTGTTGCTTTTGTCGTCGTCGTCGTCGTTGTTGTTCTTATTTACAATGATGTTGATGTTGTACATCGGGGTCATAATCTTTGCAGAGGTTTCTTTACGATTCAAGTGTTGCTCATATACCGCTGTGTTTGCCCCGGTTTGAGCATGCCGTCCCGCGGTCGCAAACCCAAGACATTATTCAGAGTTTGCTTCTTGTCCCATCGCCCCACCGTGCTCACTTCCATGTCTTCTCAGTCACAACAATTGCACAGGTTTGTCTTATTTTCTGTCGACCCATCCACCGTTCACATTCCCGTTGTTACCCGTCTTGGTAATGTCGAACACGGATTCATGCTTCGACGACGGGCAGGCTCTGCCATAACGACGGAGCTGAGGGTCGTAGATCATGACGACCGCATGTTGTTGCCCTGTCTAGGACCCGACCTACTACCCCCACACTTCGCATTACATACGACTGAAGTACAGTGGGGGACCCTCAGTAGTGCCTGTATGGACCAGACGACCACACCGGCACTTTTCAGAGGGACTGGCACTTATGCGAATAGTGCCAAAACCGGCACTATGGAGGGCTGGTGGAGTAAACCGAGGGGGCCGCAGAAGAAAAATGTTTCGCGGCACGCACGTATTTCGTTGCGGGTTGCCATTTCTGCTGCAATCAACGACTTGGAACTCGGAAGTTGTGGCACGGTGCGATATGTATAAGTATCTCTCTACATTTCCCCCACTACCAAACTATTTGTCAAGCCCTCGAAGGCACAAAGTTGGTTGACCTTGAGCACATGCAGTTTGTTTCGAACAAAGTAAATTAACACATCTTGACCAGAACAACAAAAAAGTGCTATTGATAGCATCTTCCATCTACAATCAAGCACGCGGGCAGAGGGAAGGGTAAATAGACACCAACAAACAAGCACAAGAGGAGTTACAGTTCATCACCCGCAGCGCACGGCATCGTGTGCCTCTGCGTCGCAAGCTATAGGGCTCCAGCAGTACACTTTTGTGCCACTCTCGCTGCGGTTGTGCGTGTGTGTGTGGTGTGAAAACTGCCGAAACGGCACTATTGAGGTTTTCAGTTTTCAATGGGGCTAAACCTGCACTATTGATGGCGTCTCACAGAGTAGTGCCGGTACCGGCACTGCCGCGGGTTCTGTCTGTGCAGAGAAATTTCATCGGCACTATAGCGGGCACCGGCAATATTCAACCGGCACTGCTGAGGCCCCCCCACGATCTATGTGTCGTGCGCTCGGGCAACATTCTCCGAACACGCAGGCGACTTGCTCCGCATTGAGCAGAGCCCTGCGGACGGCGGAATCATAGTATCGGGCCTCGAAGGTAGGGTAGTCTCGGAGCAAGGCATAGTGCGACACTCCACGGATGCAGCCACCACACCGTGGGAGATGGTGGTCAGCCCTTGGGGGGAAGGAGGTAGCATTGCGTTGGGCGGAGAGGGTGATAGTGGCCATGGGGAGGGAAGGGCGACAGAAGCGGGGATGGTGCTCTTCAACGTGGCTGCGGGGGCGCGGCTGCACGTCAGGTGAGCGAGCGGCGGTTTTGTGAGCGTGGATGTGTTGTGGGTGTGTGTTGAGGTGCGAGAGAGAGGCCAAGCTCAGGCTGTGTATACGGTTGGTGTAGATTGTTTATCTTCACACTTAAGTGTGGGCAGAAATGGAAAACTTATTTGTGAACGTTGCTTTCTTTCGTCAGAGCGTTTTCATCGTGCATCCTTGAGCCCTTTCGACATGGCGCACCACCTTATCTTGGGCGGAGTCTTTCATGTCTCTTGTCTCTTGGCGACATGTAGAGAACTTTCACTGTACGCGCCGGACCGTTGTGTCCGTTCGGCGATTTAACGTCTCGTTTGATTTTCGTGTTGGCACATTTTTTCACCGTCCCGGCATGACGAAACGCAGCAGCAAGACTTGGTGTTGCCGTCTCTCGCGACCTTTTCTCCGTACATACGCCTCTCCCTTTGCCCACGGCGACACCCATTTGCAATAATCTTGCCCTTTCGAAGGCGAAAAAAGGATGGGGATCGCTTTCAGCCAGCATGGCGCGATAGGCCCGCGAAGCTCAAGGATTTCCTTCGCGGGCAAGGGGTGCCGTTACACCGCAGGGACGAAGTGGCCTTAATCTGCGACCACCACGACTCGGTAAGGAGAAGAGGTTCGCCGTCAAAGCACTTTTTTTTGTTAGCAAGTGCCATTTGGTGGATGCGTGCGTGTGTTGTACGACGCCGTGCAGCGCGAAGTCAACACCAGTCCGAAGAGCTGCTTGTGTACGTGTAGCTTTCCATCTCCGCAACTTTTTGTTGGTTTTCTTGTAAGTGTCGGAGGGATTCAGTCTCGGCACCGCTTACAGGGATTCACTCTGTGCAGGCCGGCTTTGTTTGTACTACCGGCCACACTCTCACGGCAGTCTACGAAGCATTCATTCCACCATATGATAGAAAAGTGCTGCCTATCTTCTTGTCAATCAATCTCCTTTTCCCTGACCAACCGCCCTTTGCCTCCGGCGCGTCACCCTTGCCGCTGCACCTCTGTTGTCTCGTTCGGCCTATCCTTTCGTCAACTACCACGCGTTAAGGTTATCGCGGTGTACCCATCCTACCCCGGGTTCGGGGTTTGCCAGGATAGCACCGGGGAGGAACCGATTCGCGTAAGGATAGCGGGGACGCCCCTGTTTTGTCCCCGCCCGGAGGATCGGGGAGGAGCACCCGCCTCATGACATGGCATGGCGTCTTCATTCGATTGTTGACATTTGTGGACAAACCAAGGGTCCGCGGGGACTAGCAATCGGGACACGTAGCTCTGACTGGGGCAGAAAAGTATACAATGACCGACCATGGAAATACGAACGAAAGGAATCGAGAAATCGCGTTGCGGGCCTTTGCGACGTGCACGATTCGTTTTCTGTTGTTGGCCGCCGCAATACACGTTCCGCTCTTTACCTTCTCCGTAGGCCCTGACGTGCATCATGACACGTTTCCTCTGTTTTGAAGTGCTGACTACATTCGACATATCATTTTGGGCCCTCTCAGAAATAGCTCGATGTTTTTCTCCAGTAGTTGCTCCTGTCGAAAAACGTTGAGCCAGACCGGCGGCAGGTGGGGTTGAGACTGTTTCAGGAGGTGGTTGACATCTACGTTAGAGGGCTGCCGACAATGAACGTGGGTGTCCGCCATTTAATCTCTGGGTTCCACAGTTCAGTTGGTGTCGTGCGACACTCCACATTCACATTGATTGGCTTTTGCTGCCCACCCCCCTACCTAGCTGAACAGAAGTGCATTATATTTTGTAGAGGGCAGAGTAGTTGTTTTCGCGCGCCCCCCCCGCCGCTGCTGTTCACTACAGTTGTACTGTACTACAGAGTACGGGCCACACGTCGCGGACAACCACATGCTCTCCGCTGTTGCATGGGTTTGATGGCACTTTCCACCACCTCTCTTGATTGAGGGCTTGATGAAGTGGACTGATTGTCCTCAGAGATCAAAAGACCGAAACAAGAAACTACGAAGTACTTGTAAGGACTAAGAGAACCGGGAGGATGCGACAGTAGAGTCCAAAGCAAAAAGAAATTCGGACGACTTGGGCCGGTACTTCGACCCAAAATAAGGGATTGCGGTTCGACCCGATTTTGACGTTTCGTAACTGCGGGCGCTTTCTGTAAGAAAGGTAGACTACCTCTTACGTCTCATTTTTTCACCCGAGGCTCATTATGTAATTTGTGTGGCAACTGAACAACGACTGTCAATAGGCTTTGTGCAGGCTTCTTGAGCCTGGATCCAAGGTTATTAGACTCGGGAATGACTATAATACAGCTGTTGACGAGGCTCATATCGAAACAAACTTCGGCGTGTAGTCTAGACTACATGTTCACCCCGTTTGATCTACACTCTTATCAGTAGTCTATAGAAGTCAGGTTTGTTCTGCACATCAGTTTCACATCTTCATGTAGTATGCATGTAACGTGTGGCTTGTATGTTCGGCCGTCGCTGGGGCCACAGAGGAACAATAAATGTAGGCTCCAAGAGCAACGAGTGTCGACCGTAGAACGAACTTGGGTTTGGTTTCCCCCTGCAGATACACAGCAGTGTACAAGGTCCGCGACCCGATAGGTCGTTAGCGAGAGATCTAATCTACGATAGATACTGCTGTATACTAAATAGCGGTCCTCCTGGTTGGCGCATCAGATTTGCATCACTTCGCCATCTTCTTCCACACGCTAAAACTCAGACCTGCTTCGTATCTACCATCCATGCATGTCCCTCGCGCCCATCCCCCTTTCCTTACTTTCTAAAAAACCAAAGGAACAAATACAAATACCGCACGAAAGACAGATCTCCGGAGAACCTGTAAATAATCCAACGGCAACAGGGGGATGGGGGCGAGAGAGCAGGGCAGTCCTCCCGTAGCACACACAGCAAGCAGTAGCCAGCCTGTCGCGGCAGACAACGTGCGACGATGTTGCGGGTCGGAGGACCGATGCGGATTGGAGGAGCAACAGGGGGCACGATGTCGGAGTGCATAGCAGAGCTCCAGGAGAGCTCGTTGCCAGACGCCTTCAAGCTCGCGCAGGTTCGCTCCCTTGTGAGGTACATCAAGGAGGTGGGTCTCCTGCAGAGGAGGATCATCGACGAGAGCGGGTTCGAGGCCGACACCAACTCTTACCTGGAGATCCTGTGCGCGAAAGAAGACGGTGATCTCATGAGGAAGGTCTCCTCTACGCGGGTGCTTCGTCAGGCAAGAGATAGTAAAGTGCACTGTTTCTGTACATAACTGCTGCTGTCGAGCGCGAGTTACTAAATTCGGTAGAGAAAAGAGAGAGGATAGAAGTCTGCTACAGCAGTAGGAACACGGCGGTAGACACACCAGGCCGCAGGGACAGCACAGGCAGACTGAGCCCATCAAGGTAGGGCAACGACGTGTGTGCCCGAAGAGCGAACCCGCGCCCTTTGGAGTGTGCGGGACCCGCCCGCTCACCCGCGGTCTGGATGCCGTTGATCCTCTTCGGCGAAGGGACGCATTTTCCCCCCTGGCTCCAGCCACCCACACATGATCGACTTCATAGTCGCGAGGGAAGGGATTGCTGTACCCTTCTCGCGATAAAAATACCTTAGGCAGGAATCGCACGAGGGGGTCCAACCCCCCCCTCCTATGTGACCCCGGTTAGGTCGTCTAGCTGGTAGAAGTGGAGGATAGGGGCCAGAGAGGCAGACGACAGAATCCAATGATGGGAGAAAAGCAAACAAAACAAAAAGGCAAGAACACACCCGTTCCCTGCTTCACCCGATCTGCCTTTGCGTCCCACCACACCGATCACACGCGAGGTCCGCAGGCCCTCAAAACATGCTGGCATCACCTGGCTCGGTGGCTATGCAATACCAGCAGAGGTCTTGTTGGGGCGGGACCTCCTCATGCGGCCTTGCTCTTCAAAGAAGTGTGCGGGCTTGCATCGTGCGGGCCCATGTTTGGATCGATGGATACAACAGACGCGGTACATACAAACGATGATGCAAGAAATACTGCGTCAAGAGTCAACATCACAGCAGCAGGCAGGCGACACGCGCGCGCGGTCCAAACAGACACACACACCTGGTCCTTTCGTCCGATGCGACTCTCTGGCTGGCGCTGTTGCCGCTTGCTACTGCTGCAGGCGTGTACCGTTTTGCTCATCTATCCAAGCAGCTTATCGAACACTCCCGTTTGCCTACGTGAGCGCTACACAACAGCTGTATGTCGTGCCGTGCTGTCTGTGCTGCTGTTGCTTCGTTTCCTCCGTTTCCTCTTTGCTGACTGCATTGTTCTTCTCTCTTTGTTCATGACACCATGAGTACACGGATGATGAATGCAGAGTTATTCGTAGAGTCTCCAACGTTTTCGACTGCTGTTGCCGGTTGACGTGTTTGTTGCCTTCGTGTTCAGGACTACGACGAGAAGAGGTTAGAATGGAAGAAGCAAAAGAAGAGCGTCATCAACGCCATCGGGTCCATGACGGCAAGGACGCTAAGGTTTGAAGACAAGGAGAGGAAGACCATCGCGCTGCACGCGCTGGCCTTCTACAAGGTACAGGGTACAGGCTGCGTTTTTTTTTCGTCAGTGTCGGGCATAATGATATAGTACTTCGAACACAACATCAACAACATTCGCTAACCTTCCCAAATAAATATCTTTGTGAAGGTCGAAGATCAATTTTCCTGCAAGCATGTAAATGCGGATGGGCCAAAACCGTCGATCCGTGTGTCGGTGCAGTGTAGATGACCAATCTAACCGGCCTGGGCCTCCGCGAAGCCAGACTATCGCTCACGGCAGGGAGGAGCAGGGGAACAACCTCCCGCAGTAACAGTCCAACCAGGTGTTGTACTGTAGTTGTTGGAGGCTTGTCTTTTGCCGTCCTTTGCCAGTCGTTCCGACCTCCCTTCCATGTTCCACCTCCCCTCCCTGGTGGATACAGCTACAGTAGCTGGGTACCGTGGCAGACAGGCTGGTTACTTCCAATTTCCGCGCCCACAGTCCACAAGCTCCAAAGATACGAATACAGATGTGGTTAAATAGACTGATCTTTGGAGGTAAATAGTTCCGTTACACAAGATTGCACTTGCAAGACTGAAGTCGAGTTTTTTCCTACAGGTGAGATGCTGAATTTTCTCTATCGCTACACAATGTATCCGAGGTCGTAGGCATATGGATAGCCTACGTGTACCATCATTGTGCACCTTGTGTCTGTATCCTAAAGGATACCTTAAAGGGACCCAAAGCAACCCCTTTGAGAAGAAGGAGAGTTCAGGATTTCGTTTTTGGTTTTACTTCAAGCAAAAGGCGAAAGCCTTCGCGCGTGAATCATGGAATCATGCAGAGACGGGCGGGGTGGAGAGAACATATTACTGCTGTACCAGGCACCTTAAAAAATGCGGATGAACGCACCGCAGCCGGGCGTGCGATCAACTTTTAACTTGAACTGTCGATTGCTCCACAATCAAGAGACTGACGAAGTCGGGAAGGGTGGATGGTTTTAGCAGTTGAAGTACTGCGTGACATATCAATTGATACACCTTTTGGGCCGGCCATTTTACGGCAGAGCGAAGCAAAGAATGCCAGCGGGTTTTGCTCTCCGGTGGGACGATGCGCATGTTGCGTTGCCGGCTTTCTTGCAGTAGCGCAAGGCGATACAGCAGGTACAGGTACATTTTGTGCTGCTTTAGACTGACTCTGCAATGGCGCGGACTCTTTTGTTAGCAGTCGGAACCCCTGGAGCCAACTGCTGTCATACGTGTGTGCCGCACAGAGCATCATGGCCACGGATGACGGAGCTATCCCCGGTGAGAGCGAGAGCACGGATGCCTTGATAGAGCAGTACAAGAGGTGAGAGATAGATTTTCGGTTGGATTTACGTTGGTGTTACTGTTATTGTTAGCGATGGTGGTGGGGTTGTCGTTGTTCCTCAACGGTTCGTCTCGACAGTTTTTATTGGTGTTGTCGTTGGTGTTGTTGGCAGTTGTTTTTCGTAACGTTCTCGACGGTGCCTCTCGACAATGTTCATATTCGGAACGTCAAATCTTCCAATATGCACGATGTGAAGTGGTCGCGTCTTGTCTGCCTTCACCGCAACCGGAACAAGGTGCGGCAGTGGTTGTCGTAGCAGCGGGTGCGATTGTGTCGGATATTGCGATATCGTTCCATTTGTTTTGCATGTTTTGGTCGCGGTCGGTGGTGTCGGTGTTGGAGCTGACGCTCAGATTGTTTTACAGTAGTTTTGATTACTACAGAAGAAGTCGTTGTGAACTAGGCGTGGTCGTCGCTAGTGGTCGTCGCTAGATAATCACGTCATTGACTCCGCCCCCTTGTAATGGCAATCCCGCGCAGTCTCTCGTAAGCCGAGTACTACAAGGCTGATGCAGGGGTTGGTGTGTGGACCTCGAG